ACCAAAGTGATATAGAGGTTCTGCACAGTCCCCCTGAAAATTCCAATGACATTCTTCCAAGAACTAGAAAATCCTAAACTGGATATGGTGATGGATGCCTCTCATCCCAAAATCCTGAAGATCATATCTTTGAGGACAGTCTGGTATAGGTAGTTCCAGGTCATTCAGAGCTACACAGTAAGACTCAAAAGAAACAAAGTAGGTGCTATACCACTGAGCTATACCCCTAGAACTACTTTTTCCCTTTATTGGGGACTGGATCTCTCTAATTTGCCTAGACAAGGTTTCTGTATATAGAACTCCTTGAGTTCAGGGGCAGAGAGTGAGGATGAGGAGACCCTGACTGAAACTAGAGACTCCATTGTTTGTGAGGATGAGGAGGAGTCTCTTAGCAACAACAACAACAAAAAATAAACGGGTAGAGATCTCCGGGTGTGACCCAAAAAGAAGGACTCTGGTCAGAATCTGTTATATCCTTCTCTGTCAGACCTAAAACTGGAAGTAGCTCAGACTCAGACTTGTCAGACTCTGAGAAGGAACGGTTGCTTCCTGAGATCCGGCCCTTAAAAATGAACTAAAAAAGACTCGAATTAAGAAAAGACAGGATAGGGAGAGAAACCCTTCTCCATACTCTGAAAAAAGGGACTCCTCCTATCATATAACCCAGTCCTTCTTGGACCTCGATGGAAGACCCAAAGGAGGGGTCCAATACTGCCCGGTGGTAGCCCCGGTAATAGAAGCTCCAGACCCGACCAATTCTGGACAGGTCATTTGGCGTCATTACCCTTTAAGTTTTAAAGATATAAATCAACTTAAAGAGGCAACTTTAAATTATGGAGCGCAGGTTCCCTTTACACTTTCCTTAATGGAATCTTTTGTGTCTCTTAACTTGACACTTAGTGATTGGCAACAGCTTTGCAGAGCGACTCTATCTGGGGGAGATTATTTGATTTGGAGGGGTGAGTTTCAGGAAAGATGCAGCCAGACAGCCCAAAGAAATGCACAGGCTGGACAGCCCCAGAGAAATGTGGAGATGCTTACCGGGAGTGGTCAATACGCCACCATTCAGCAACAAATGCAATATGACATCACAGCCTATGCCCAAGTGGCAGCAGCGGCCCAAGGGGCTTGGAAAGCATTGCCTTCCAAGAAAGGAGGGGATCATCTGTCCAAAGTCCTTCAAGGACCCTCCGAACCTTTTCAAGACTTCCTAGACCATCTCAGTCAGGTAGCAGAAAGAATATTTGGGGGCATTGGGCCTGCGATGCCAGCCATCAAGCAGATGGCTTTTGAAAATGCAAATAAACATTGTAAGGAAGCCCTTTGCCCCTATCGCAATAAAAGTCTAAATGACTATATCTGGATCTGTAGGGACATTGATGGGAACTTCATCCAGGGCCAAGAGTTAGCTGCTGCTATTCAGCCACAAGTGGGGAATGGAAGACTTAATCAGGGAGGGAGAAAAACATGTTTCAGCTGCGGTAGGGCAGGACATTTCCATAGAGTGTGCCCTCAATATAGTACTACCGGTCTCAAGAGACCTGGTTTATGCCCCCGTTGTCGAAGGGGATATCATTGCCCAATGATGGCTACTCTAATACTTACCGGAATGGAAATTTCCTTCCTGCTAATAATAATCAGGGGAACTGGAAGAGGGCCCCGCCCCAGGGCCCCAAAACCAACTTGTATATGACCCCTGCATCTGGCAGTGGAAGTGACCACGTCTCCAAGCCAGCAGCTTTTGCTGGATGTCAGCATAGACCAAGGAGATAGTCTGGAGTCATGCTTATTCCCGCCATCTTAGAAAAACTGCAGTTTAAACAGCCACCGTTTTAACAGATGAGACACGTGTCCAGGAAAACATAAAGATTTACAGTAAACTCCGACTTGGATGAAGAAAAACCTTTAACGGTTTACAGTGTGTTTAAAAATATATGTAGGATTGAGAGGAAAAAAGTAAAAGAAACAGCATAGTGTTAAATAGAGAAGCCGGGAGTTGGCGGCACATGCCTTTAATCCCAGCATGCCTTTATGAGGGAACATCCTGGGTTGAAGGATGGATTGAAAATGGGTGAATGGCTGGGCGGTGGTTGCACACGCCTTTAATCCCAGTACTCGGGAGACACAGGCAGGCAGGTCTCTTGAGTTCAAGGCCAGCCTGGTCTACAGGGCAAGTACCATGACAGCTTCCAAATAATACAGAGAAACCCTGTCTCGAAAAAAAATGGGTGAATCAAAAAAAATTTGGTAACAGTAAAGAGGTACTGGTATTAAGTAAAGAAAAAGAAAAAGACAAAGGTATATGGAATGGAAAATTTTGTTTGCATTTAAGGTCAATTTTGTGAGTCATCTCTAAAAACTTTTGGCCAAAAGCCTGGCCTCTCCACCTTGCATCTACAGAGTTACAAGGTGTAGATACGGCTGCACCCCATGACTGTAGCTCAAATGGAGGAATGATGAGGGGCAGACAGGACTTTTTAACCTTTTTAGTTCAAGGATTGGCTGGAGTTGTTCTGTTACAGAGATTTTAATTAAGGAAGTTTCATTTCAACAGACTAATCATGACCTAGGGAAAAAGGATGACTGAAAGATGCATGTATATTGTGAATGTATGGTGTGGCCACACCGGTATATATGAAATGTGATTGCGAACGTGTGAGTGTGAACTGCTTATATGATTAAAAGGATACTTAAATCCCTTAAAAAACAGTTAAAAAGCTACCTAGACTGCTTTAAATATAGTCAAAAGGAACATCCAGCCAGTCTGTTAATGTTTTAACAGAAAAGTTAAGATGCAAATGAGGCCTTGTCAGCTAGTGAGAGCTCTACAGGTTAGATTGGGAACGACTGCTCACAGGCTTCAAATAATTTTCAAAAGTTATTTGGGACACAATATAGTTTACAATCTTTGAGTGATTTTCAGAAGTTTTTGGCAAATACTTAATGGATATGTCCTTTTTAAAGGGCATCTACAAATAATCTAGGTAGTGATCCCAGTTCACCTAGATAGTTAACCAAGGAGGGTAGACAAATCCTTCTACTGTTATGGTCCAACTTCAACAGTTCAAAAAAATTTTTTAGAAAATAAAAAAGGGGGAATAATGTCCCCAGTCTCCACATGATTCATCAAATAATGCACTCCTTATTTAAAAATTTTAAAATGTGAATGCCAGTGAGCAATCTTCTTCAGACAGATTTTGGCATGATGGAACTTGAGCAACTCTTGCTCAGGTCAAATGGAGACATCCGTGCACTAGACAGTGGAGAAGACCCTAACTTGGGGTCGAGGGCATGTTTGTGTTTTCTTGCAGGAATGAATAAAGCTTCGGCAGCTGTCAGACCATTTGGTGAGATGCATGGAGCAGAGAAAAACTGGATCTGAGACCATGGGAGCCTACCTAAGCCAGTTCGAGTGAGATCTCCTAAATCAGTATTCCTGACTCTTGATGTCATCGAATCTACAGCCCGAGAAAGAAGGAAAACAGTCGGTTCGAGATTTCCAGTTTCTCAACAGGACTGCTGCATCAACCTCCCGGACCCGTGAGTTTTCATCCCGAAGCTAACGGAGAACTGGAAAGACTAACTGTCTGCCCTTGACACATCTTGAAACAACAGTTTCATTTTGCCAGTTTTTCCCTTTGGGGGAAAAAAGGACCCATTTAAAACACTTGGACATTGGTATGGACTGTGATGAGTGGCAAAAGCCTCCTTATAGTATTTGAACAGGACATAGTCACTTGAAATATCAGACTTGGTGGTTCCTGTTTCTGGAATCGAGCCTACGCCAGTGTATTTTTCTGGAGAAATGCAACTTGTCCTAATGCGACAAAAAAGAGACTTTGGCCCAAGTCACATATTCAGCTGAGGTTACTGACATTAAATCAACAAACTGCATCACCACCGAAACAAATTGGTGCTCTGTGGATAGTGCAACAAGCCTCTTGTTCATATTTTTTATAATGCTACATGTGTAACATCAATGATTGTACCTAATGTATCGGTGCAAGTGCACTTTCTAAATGCTTTCCTGAGCAGATCTTAGAACAATTGTAAACTTTATCACTGTTTTGACCATCAAATTGTAAATGTAAATCACATGCGGGTTACCCTTGTAACAGATGAAGGCTGGTAGAATGTTATGGCCCAGATCTGGTGATGGGTACGGTGATGGAGAGGCGCTATGTCAATGGGGGTCCTGGAAATGGTGGCAGTGGCGGTAGGCATTCTGGCTTTATGCCGAGCTCAAACGTGCCTTGTTCCAGAGGCAAGAGATCCGTAACCAAGTATTGCTTAGCTTAGCCCATGGCAATTCCGATAGCCAAGAAGTTTGGTTACAGATGATTTAAGGATGAGGTTATTCTGTTGACAGACAACCTGTGGGGAAGAGCCCTCCCACCTAAGACAGGGATTCAAGGTCCCCCGAAGACGGGCAAGGGAGGGTGACCCTACTTGACCTAAGCCAGGAGTGCCTCATTAGAAAATAAAAAAAGGGGGAATTGTGGTGACACCAGACCTTGTTCAAAGACCCACTTCCCCATCAGCCTGGGAGTAGGCAGCTGTAAGACAATGTTTAGCAAAAACATGTTTACTAAAAACAATACAATGACCAGGGCAATAACTTCCTGAAAAGGGCTGGCCCACGGGAATCTCCCTGACCTCGACCTTGTCCAAAGACTAACTGCCTCTTCTGACACACCCAGATCAGTTTTTGGTGTCAGAGCAGAACCAGCCAGGGGAGAGGAGAGAGCAGAAGCTTTTCTGGAGGGAGGCCTTTCTTGGGAAGTTTTCTTGAGCCTTTTTGGGGCCTGGTCAAAGTTTTCTTTACATCGTTGAACAAGTCTCTGTGTTGTTAATCCCTGAGACCCTCTGCATGTTCTCGGACACCGGCTGCGCAGCGGATGCGGCAGGCTGTTCTGGATCTCACTATTCTCTCAGCTGGCATTGGAGATCTGCCTGTCTCTACCTCCTAAGTGCTGAGATTGAAGGCATGTGCCACCAAGTGTGTCCTATTTATTTATTTACAACAGTGTCACATGTCATCCAGGCTGGCCTCTTCTTCCTACGCTATGACCTTGTCTTCTTGATGCACCTGCTGAAACCTCCAAAGTGGTAGCATTTCTGATATGTACCTCCCCCTGGCCCATGGAAGTTAGTGTTGTTTGAAACAAGTATTACTCCATTGCCCAAGCTTGTATGAAATCTCTAGGTATTCCAAGATGGCTAAGAAACCAAAGAAATTCTCCTAACTCATGTTCACATGGGTTGAGATTATGGATCTGTGCCTGAAATTTTTCTCATTTCATGGCTTTGATGAATGTCATAAAAATTATTACTCAGAGTAAAATCCTTCCTTTCTATATCATTTCTCATTCCTATTGATTATTGAGTAATATTCTTCATTTGCAAAATGTATGATGTTAGTAAAATGCAGCCAGGTTCCCAAAATTCACAGGATCCCTCAGAGGTCTCCGTAGGTCTCCTGTATGCTAGAGGGTCATTGATCGTCATTATTGGGAACAGGACTTGGTTGAGCGACTGCCAGAGCAGCATATACACTGGGCTCCTCTGAGGCTTCTCCTTCCTGGGAGGGAGGAGTTACAGCTGTCCCCTGTCTGAGTGACGTGCTGCACAGCTGGGCATAGACCACATCTTGTGGCTCCTCGTTTTCAGCAGCCTGGAGTGGGAGAGAATGAGACGAAGGAATATGCTTGACTTGCGGGATGCTGAAGGACCAGAGGGTACAGGACCAACCTGAGTGTCTGTCTCTCTGTCCTCGTCTGCTTGTTCATCTTTTGTTTGTGGGACTTCCCTTGAGATGACAGAAGGTAGGACAGCTTCTGCCCTCCTTAGCCTGGAGTCTTTCACCTGGTCATATGTCTCTCCCTGGGAATCTTCTGTGTATGGTCTCTGTAGCTGGAAAAAAGTGAGGTACAGACAATATCACCTGATGGGCGAAGTCCTTTTGAGTATATGCATGTTTGTTTGTATGGTATAAATCACTGTAGGCCAATAAGGAAGCAAGATAGGTGGGACTAGGGCTCAAGGAGAATTCTGGGAAATTTAGTCAAGTGAGGGGTGATCTCCTAGAGGAAAGGATGCATCAGGAGTGAGTCCTAGAAAAGATAATAACTTATAAAACATATATTAGTAATTATGGGTTAATATTTAAGTCAGAGATAGCAATGAGAAATATAACAAAAGTTGAACAGCTTCATAATTAATATAGTGTCTCATGTGTTATTTGGGCACTAAAGCAGTAATGGGACCCAGGTGTCTGTTGGGAAGAAAGATTGTTACAGTCACTTTGTGACTTTCTTCTGTCTAGTTTTCCATGGCATGGCCTGAGTGACCCATTTAGATGACAGCATCCCTGATGGGATCTTCTGGGGCCTCCTTCCTGCAGTTCTGGCCTCTTATCCTGACACTCTAATCCTTGCTGTCTTGGCGGTACCCACATAGTCCATCTTCCCAAAATCCCATATCTGGGGTCTAATGTGATGGCTCTATAGTTAAGAGCACTGACCCTTATGGCAGAGGACTCAGGTTTGCTTCCCAGAACCCTCATGATGACCTATATTCATCTGTAACTCTAGTTCCAGGGCATCTAAGACTGTCTTCTGGTCACTTAGAACATCATACAGCCACGTGGTACAGACAAAAGTACAGGCAAAACACCACTCCCCACAATAAACTACAGAACCACACGTGTTTCTGCCCAAGTTCCTTTGTCTGCAGTTGCTATTCTGTTAGATGTTTCTGTGGGTTTCTCCATCAGGTTTGCCCCCTCAGATCACAACCAGGCAGATGACAAGGAACTACAAAGCAGACAGCAGTGATGAGACCCATGATCCCAGGAAACCCAGGACAGAGTGAGGCCACTGCACACAGGAGCCAGGTGGTTGGAGAAGGGAGGGGTCAGCTATGGATGTTTTTGAGGGCCAAGCGAAGGAGAATGAAGAAGGCTGTCTGGACTAAAATGGGCCCTTAGTTCTTAGCACTGCAATTGGGACAGGGACCTCACCGAAGTGTTCAGCTTGACCTCATCCTCAGGTTTCATGTCCTCCACTGAAGCATCTGTCATAGCAGAAAACACAGAATGTCTCCTGACCAGAGTCTAGGGATGTCTCAGACCTCAAGTTTCCTGCCTTACTCAAGTGGGGACAGGGAAGCAGGGAGTGTTGTAATGTCCCCGTGTTCATAGTGTGAGTTCAGACACAAACAGCAAAGACTTCAGAAACTCTTCACCACCCCTGCAATGCTGAGACCCCAGACTCCACCCCAGGACCCTCATTGTCTCACAAAGGCTTTCTTCCTGGACAGCAGCAGCTAGGTTGGATCTGGAAAGACAAGGAGGTGTTGGTTGGCAGTGAGTTGTGTCAGGAAGGTGGGGTCTATATCCCTGGCCACGAGTTACCTCTTCTTGCAGCCTCTGTCTGTGGTTACTGGCTCTGCGTCTCCTGAAGGAAGTTTCAATTCTGTCCCTTTCTGGGCTGCAAAAGAGATGAGTCTCAGCTAGTGGAGGTGGGGCCACCCCCATGCATGTGCATGGAAGGAAGGAAGGGACATTTACAGCAGGGTTGAGTGAGCAAATGTCCCAGGACATGGAAAAGGTCACAGAACCCCTGATGTCACACAGGTTCTGAGATCACATGCTTTCTGATCTGAGACATGCAAGTGTTTCTAGACTCCACAGCCCCAGTTTGAGGAACCCATCCCCACCTGAGACCTAGGTCATCCACACTGAACTCACCATCCTTCCTGAACTTTCTCTGATGCCTTCGCTGGAGAAGGAGAAAGATGAGGATCAAGAGTAACAGGAGGAAGGCCACAGAGACTCCGATCAGAGCCTTCAGGTACTGTTCCAGACCTGAGGTACAAAGGACACCATGAGTAGGGACTGCTGATGCTTATCTAAGCACCTACTGTGTGACAGAACTCTGGTGCACTCATCATCTGCCAACCTCACAATCATGCATCGAGCAATTGTCTCTTCTTCTATCCCCAGAGTTCACATGCCTCAGATCACCTGACTGGAAGTGGCAGAGCTGGGAGTTGAACAGAGGGACTCTGACTTCCACCTCTTTTCTCTCCACCTGAGCTGAGCCTCAGGAGCTGGAGGGAAGGAGCAGGAATGACCTGCCATGATCCTGTGTCCCACCCTTGCCCATGTCACCACCAAGGTGGGACATTCCTACTGCAGACTCAGGATGTGCAGGACTCCTGTGTTATTAGAGCTGACATCCAAGGCCAGCACAGAAAGAAATTTATACAGATGGGCCAGGGCTCTCCCTTTATAGCCGGGGAAACAGCAGCCAGGTCAGAGTGGGAAGGACTTGTCTAAGTCAGCATCTCCAGAAGCTGCTGTATCAAGCCCATAACTATTGCCCATCTGGGTACCACATCCAACAGGACTTTTACATAGGCTTCTCGTCCCTGAATCAATGAGGTGGGAAGTGTGTTCTCAGGACCCTAGAGGCAGATGGAGAGGTGAGTGTCTGGGATCCCTTCCCTCTCACTAAGTACCTGCTCCATCCTCCAGACTGAGCCAAAAGATCTCTCTCTGAGCACAATCTTCCGTAACCTAACCTCTGTGTCCTGGGCTTCTGGGGTCTCTGATGGGGTCTCTTTCCCTCCCACACTCACAAGCTGAAGTGACAGAGAAATCAGGACTTCAGTGGATGCCTGATACTTACCAGCTGTTGGCAAAGGACTTGAGGGTGGTGGGATGGAGGCTCCAATGTGACCTAGGAAACAGAACAAGAGTGGGTTAGGGATAGATGCTAATTCAGAAATCTGCCTCTGCTGTCTTTCCTACATCTGACCTGTAACCTCCCCAAGATCCTCCTGCTGTCTACCCCAAACCTAGATTGTGATAGAGGAAGCAGTGCACAGTACTTGAGGGACCCTGCTCGCATCCATGTATCTGCAGGGAAACTGACTCCTGACTAATGCTTCCTATTGTCGCCTTAATCCAAACCAAGTCAAGGACTCTCCTAATGCTTGGTCTGTAAGTCACCCTGAGAGTTCAGAGTCACCTCACCTGTGACAGAGAGCTCCACAGGGAAACTGGCATGTGACAACATGTAGGGAGATGAGTCATGAGAACCATAGCACCTGTAGGTGCCTGAGTGGGCAGAGGTCACGGCACTCAAGGAGAATTCTGTCTGGAGCTCCCCATCTTGTGACTTGGATTTTATTTTCTGGAGTTGGTGTGTTGCTCCCTCCTTGGACAGAATGAAAGTGTCAGCTGTGTATGTTGACTGACACAGCAGGGTCACGTTGTCTCCAGACTGCACTGTGGAGTTTGGCTTCACTGAGAGGGAAGGTCTGTCAGGATACTGTCCTAAAGAGAACAGAGATAGTGAGAGGCTGTCTCCAGTGTTCTGATCTGAGACTTCACACGGGTCGGATCTGAGCACCTGTGACTCTGTCTTTTCTCCGCCTTTCCCTCTCTCCTCCTCTCTGTGTCTCCATCTCTTCCCAAATAAGATCCCTTTCCTCATCCCAGCCATCAGCTCTTAGGTCCACATGAGAACTCATGCAGAGCTTAGGTACCAGATTGAATCTATTTAGTTGCTCACCTGTGATCAGGATGTCCACAGGGTCACTGGCGGCTGACCACTCAGAGGAGAGGTTGTGTGCACCATAGCATCTGTATTGACCTCCAGTAGAGCGGCTCACAGGGTTCAGTGTGAAGTTGGCCAAGGAGAGGCCAGCCTGGGTCCTCTGGCCATAGAGCTGGGTGAAGTCTGTTTCTCCCACCTTGTACAGAGCAAATCTGTCATAGTTGATGTCAGAGCAACACTGCAGGGTGAGGTTCTTTCCAGGGTCCAGGATATGACCTTGGTGAGTCAGCAGAGAGGGCTTGTTAGACAGGCCTAGAGGGAAGGTGACAGGCTGGTGATTGGGGACCTGGTTTCACAAGCACTGATCCCTGCCCGTCCTGTTCTGCACATGTCACTGCTTCTCCCCAGGAGTGGGGCTCTGGCTCAGCAACCAGACCCCTCCCTTTTCACTCTGTCACTCTTTACCTGCAAACAAACAGTGGGACAGGCCCATGGCAAACGGATTGGGGTGTCAAAAATGATTGGTCAGTGATCGGGCTGACTCACCTGAGATGTATATTACCACGGGCTCACTGGGTACTGACCACAGCAGTGGCCTTTGCTGGTAGTAACCATAGCATCGGAATGTCCCTGTGTGGTTAGGTGTTACATGCTCTATAGAGAATAAGGCTTGGTACTGCCCAATACTGCGATTGTACTGTGAGTTCAGGGAGCTGAGGAACTTCTGATCTTCCTTGGTGAGAATGAACTTTTCATATCTCTCCTGTGAGACACACTGGAGAGTCATGTTCCCTCCTGAGGTCACCACGGTGCTGGGCAGTGCTGTCAGGCGTGGTTTATTGTCATAGAGTCCTAGGACAGAAGGATTAGGCTGTTACATGGGCTCACACAGTCACAGTGCTGTTCAGGGGTAGGCTTTGGAAGGGAACAGTCCTGAGAGCAGAGCCTGGGGCTGAGACTCTGACTGTCCCCTCACCTGTCACCACCAGGTCCAGGGTGTCACTGCGCTCTGACCAGCCAGCTGAGCTGTAGCAGTAACAGCGATATTGCCCCCCCACTGTAGTCTGCAACAGAAGGAATGGAGAATGTGGACTTGTTTCCAGACTTCTTTTGGGTCTGTGTACCCCAGGATTGATGGCTTCCCTCTTTATGCAGAAAACACATTTCTGCATCCTGGGTTCCCTGACATGAGATGTTCATGGGGCTTCCTGAGGCAACCACAGTGCCTGGCTCAGCCTTGATGGTGGGTTTGTGGTGGGTCCCTGCAAGGAAATAGGAGAGGAGGAGGTGGGTCTGTGCGAAAATGGCAAAGAGAAAGTCACACTTCGGGAAGGTAATTTTTAAAAAAATTTATATTACAAACAATCTTATTTTATATATCAATCCCAGTTCCCTCCCCTCCCCCCCCCTAACAACCCTCATTCCTTCCCCTATCTGCTACCCAGGGAGGGTGATGCCTTCCATGCAGGATGATGAAGTTTTGTCACATCATATGTGGCAGGGTCTAGGCCCTTCCCCACATGTCTAGTCTGAGACAGTATTCCTCTATAGGGAATGGGCTCCCAAAGTCCCTAAGTAAACCAGGGATAAATACTGATGCATTACCACAGGCCCCATAGACTGTCCAGGGTGGACAGTAATTTTTTCTGTTTAATTTATTCTTCTGCCAAACAGTACATCCTCACAGCAGACCCCTCTCTTCTTCTCTCCCCCAGATCCACTGCTTCTCTGTTTCCCTTCAGAAGAGAGCAGGTTTCCCAGTGGTATTTATGGAGCATGACATAACAACATGCAGTAAGACTAGGCAATCACCCTCCTGTTAAGACTGGAGAAGGCAACCCAGTAGAGGGAAAAAGAGTCAGGCACTTCCCTATTCCTGTTATTATGATTCTAACAAAAACCCCAAGCCAGTCAGGCAGTGGTGGTGCATGTCTTTAATCCCAACACTCAGGAGGCAAATGTAAGCAGATCTATGGAAGTTCAAGGCCAGTTTTGTCTATAGAGTGAGATTCAGGACAGATGTGGATACACAGTGAACCTCTAAAAAACAAAAAAATAAAAATAAAAAAGAAACCAGGGTAAACCAGCTCAGCATGTGTGTAGAGGACTTAGGGAAAGTCCATGCATGCACCTTGGTTACTGCTTCAGTCTCTGTGAGCCCTCATGATCCCTGCTTAGTTGATACCATAGGCTGTGTTCTCCATGTGTCCTGAGTGCTCTGGCTCCTACAAGCCTTCCTCTCTGTATTCTGTGGAGTTTCCTGTGTTCTTATGGATGTCAGTTAAGCTTATCTAGAGTAACAGAGGGATCCATGAAGATTCTTGTCTGTTTTAGATATCCTAGACCCTGCTGTAATGTCTGCCTTGGATTCTGTATCTTGTGTCCCTCTGTCTCCCATGATTTCTGTCAATGGACTCAGGAGCCCTGGATACTCTCTCTCTCTCTCTCTCTCTCTCTCTCTCTCTCTCTCTCTCTCTCTCTCTCACACACACACACACCACACCAAGGCCTCCCTGAGCATCTGTGTCATTTCAGCATTATTTTGTGGAATGTTTTTGCCTCCTCACCTGAGAACAGAAGCTCCAGGGGTTCACTAGGTTCTGACCACACTAGTGGTTGGTTACTGTCAAAGCTGTAGCATCTGAATATCCACCTTTGCCTGGAGGTCACAGAGCCCACAGGGAATAGGGCCTGGTACTTCCCAGTAGAGCGGTCATACTCTGAGTCTAGTATCCAAGAGTACTCTTGTGGTCCTTCCTTAGTCAGAATTAGCTTGTAATATGGTTGTCTTGAGACACACTGGAGGGTGACTTCCCCTCCTTCAGTTACCACAGGGCTGGGTTGAGCTAACAGGCTGGGTTCACTGTAGGCCCCTAGGAGAGAAGGAGGAATGAGTTTATTGTCCTCAAACTGCTCATCCTCCAGGGCTGTGTGGAGTCATCCCTATGTACAGAACTACTTCTTGACAGTCATACATGAGGCTTGTACTCTGTCCGTCCACTCACCTGTCACCACAAGCTCCTTGTAGTCACTGTATCCTGACCATCTATTACGGGTCCAGTATCGACAGGTGTATTGCCCTGCTTCATGACGGCTTATTTTTTTGATTGAGAATTCAGCCTTGTTGTTAGGATTCGCTGGAATCTCTGTGTGCCTGAAATACCCCATTTTATACAGATGGTATTCTTGGGCTCCTGTGAACCCCTCACAAAAGAAGGTCACTGTAGTCTGTTCAGGGACCACAGAGTCTGGCTGTACTCTGAGAATAGGCTTAGGGAGAGTTCCTGCAAGGAAAAGATCAGGTAGGACACAGGCAAGATATCTCCAGATTGCAGACCTGACCACAATCCTCAGCCATCCCCACGGTCAGCACACATGTGTTGGTTTCCATCCTCACTGCCCAGCCCGGCTCCAGGAATGATGAGAAGCGATGTCAGGACATCTGCAGACACTCACTCACTCACCTGCCAGCACTGGTGTCCCATGTTGCAGACTCAGTCCTGGAAGAGAGTTCCCTGTGAGAGGTTTGTCCCTGAAGCTTGAGAAGGTCCTCCCCTCTGCAGAACCTCCTGAGACCCTGGGGTTTCCTAACTGAGCAGTGCTGAGCTGTGGGGCAGCATCAACCCCAGAGCACAGCGTCCCCTCCCCCTCTCCACATCTCACCCAGACAGAGCAGAGCTGTGAAGGTGAAGGTCATGGCATCTCCTCCTGGAGGCTGCAGCTGTTATTGTTGACAGAGCTACAGAGACCGTCTGAAGGGACAGGAGACACAGGGTGTGGCCTCTGGAGGCAGTGCCCTCCCTATGACAGGGTTGTACTTCAGCAGCCTCACAGGAAGGGGAACTGCCCTCCTCAGGCTCCAGGCTCTGACTTCCCCAAGGCTGTGGCTAGGCCAGGCAGGAGACTCCATCAATATTTAATGCCTGTCATTTCCCAAATCTCATCAGCATCTGTCTCCTGTATCCTCATCTTTGTCAGGACCAGGTGATAGCAGACATGAATGAATATTACACATAAGAAATACAAGTTTCATGTGGGCTTGCTTTATTCCTTTACACATTTTTATATGAAATACTTCTTCACATTCAAAATACATGAAGGTTTCTGTGACAGGTCTCAGTGTCCACACCTGCATGGAGTAAACTGTATAATCCACTTCCTTGTAGTCTACAGTCCTGTCTTACAAGTGTGCACTAGGGACTGGAGAGATGGCTCAGAGGTTAAGAGCACTGGCTGCTCTTCCAGAGCTACTGAGTCCAATTCCCAGCAACTATATGCTGGCTCACAACCCTCTGTAATGAGATCTGGTGCCTTCTAAGTACATCTAGGCAAAACACTATACATAAAAACAAATACATCTTTTTTGTACCAATACCAAGGTATTTTCAGGACTATAGCTCTATAATAGAGCTTGAAGTCAGGAATAGTGATACCTCCAGATGTTGCTTTGTTGAGTAAGGTTGTCTTGGTTATCCTGGGTTTTTTGTTTTTCCATATAAATTTGAGAATTGTTATTTCAAGGTCTGTGAAGAATTGTGCTGGAATTTTGATGGGGATTGCAGTGAGTCTGTAGATTGCTTTTGGCAGGATTGTCATTTTTATTACATTGATACAACATATCCAATAGCATGGGAGATATTTCCATTTTCTGGTGTCTTCTTTAATTTCTTTCCTGAAGACTCAAAGTTATTGCTATACAGGTCTTTCACTTGTTTGGTTAGCATTACCCCAAGGTATTTTATGTTGTATGTGGCAATTATAAAAGATGATGTTTCTCTGATTTCTTTTTTTTTTAATTTTATTTTCCAGTTTAAATTTGGATAAGAAACAAGGTTGCTTCACAAGTCAGTTCCAGGTCCCTCTCCCATTCCCTCCCTTCCTCCCGTGCCCTCCCCCCCACCCGTTATCCCCTTATTTCTCCAGGGAGGGTGAGGCCCTCCATGGGGGTGTCCATAGTGTGTCATTTCATATAGGGCAGGGCCTAGACCCTTCCCCAAGAGTTCAGGGTGAGAGTGCAACTCACATTGTTCTATGGGAGTCCAAAGTCCGTGTGTATACTTGGGATGGGTACTGATCTGCTGCCCAAGGCTCAATAGATTCCCTAGGCCTCTTCACTGACACCCAGATTCAGGGGGGTCTTGATCAGTCCCATGCTGGCTTCCCAGGCTAATGCCTGGGATTCAAGAGTTAACCTTTGTCTGGTCAGCTGTTTCTGGGGGTTAAACCAGCCCAGTCTTAATCCCTTTGATCATCAGTCCTCCCTCTCTGTTACTGGCTTTCTTGAGTTCAGCTCAGTACTTAACCAAGGGAGTCTGCCTCTTCTTCGATCAGCCACTAAATAAAGTTTCTGTTTCCCAGACTCTCTGGCCATAGGATTGTAGGCTGGCACTCCCCAGATCTATGTCTAAAATCCATGTATGAGAGAGTATATGCCATGTTTCTCTTTTTGTGACTGAGTTACCTCACTCAGGATGGTTTCTTCTAGTGTCATCCATTTGCCTGCGAATCTCATGATTCCATTATTTTTTTCTGCTGAATAGTACTCCATTGTGTAGATGTACCACATTTTCTCTATCCACTCTTCAGGTGAGGGACATCTAGGTTGCTTCCACGTTCTGGCAATTACAAATAAAGCTGCTATGAACATAGTGGAACAGACATCTTTGTTGTATGAATGGGCATCTTTTGGATATATGCCTAAGAGTGGAGTTGCTGGGTCTTGTGGTAGGTTTATTCCCATTTTTCTGAGGAATCTCCACACTGATTTCCAAAGTGGCTGAACCAGTTGGCACTCCCACCAGCAATGGAGGAGTGTCCCCCTTTCACCACATCCTCTCCAGCATAAATTGTCATTAGTGTTTTTGATTTTAGCCATTCTGACAGGGGTGAGATGGTATCTGAGAGTTGTTTTGATTTGCATTTCCCGGATGGCTAAGGATGTTGAGCACTTTCTCAAGTGCCTCTCAGCCATTTTAGACTCCTCTATTGAAAACTCTCTATTTAGTTCTGCAGCCCACTTCTTAATTGGGTCCTTTGCTGTTTTGGAGACTTGCTTCTTGAGTTCTTTGTAAATTTTGGAGATCAACCCTCTGTCAGATGTGGGATTAGTGAATATTTTTCCCATTCTGTGGGCTGCCTTTTTGTCTTGCTGACTGTGTCCTTTGCCTTACAGAAGCTTCTCAGTTTCAGTAGGTCCCATTTATTAATTGTTGATCTCACTGCCTGTGCTACTGGTGTTATGTTCAGGAAGCTGTCTCCTGTACCAATTCGTTCAAGGGTACCACCAACTTTCTCTTCTAAGAGGTTCAGTGTGGCTGGATTTATGTTGAGGTCTTTGATCCATTTGGACTTAAGTTTTGTGCATGGCGATAGACATGGATCGATCTGCATTCTTCTACATGCCAGTCTCCAATTATGCCAGCACCATTTGTTGAAGATGCTTTCTTTATTCCATTGTATATTTTTAGCTTCTTTGTCAAAGATCAGATGTTCGTACGTGTGTGGGTTAATACCCGGATTTTCAATTCGATTCCATTGGTTTACCTGTCTATTTTTGTGCCAATACCAAGCTGTTTTCAGGACTATAGCTCTATAATAGAGCTTGAGGTCAGGGATGGTGATGCCTCCGGACGTTGCCTTGTTGAACAGGGTTGTTTTGGCTATCCTGGGTCTTTTGTTTTTCCATACAAAATTGATTATTGTTCTTTCAAGGTCTGTGAAGAACTGTGCTGGGATTTTAATGGGGATTGCATTGAATCTGTAGATTGCTTTTGGCAGGATTGCCATTTTTACTACATTGATCCTACCTATCCAAGAGCATGGGAGATCTTTCCATTTTCTGAGGGCTTCTTTAATTTCTTTCTTTAAAGATTCAAAGTTCTTACGATACAGGTCTTTCACTTGTTTGGTTAGCGTTACCCCAAGGTATTTTATGTTGTTTGTGGCAATTGTAAAGGGTGATGTTTCTCTGATTTCTCTTTCAGCCCTTTTATCATCTGTATATAGTAGGGCTACTGATTTTCTTGAGTTGATCTTTCAGCCTGCCACTTTGCTGAAGGTGTTAATCAGCTGTAAGAGTTCCCTGGGAGAGTTCTTTGGGTCATTGATGTAAACTATCATATCGTCTGCAAACAGTGAAAGTTTGACCTCTTCCTTCCCAATTTGTATCCCCTTGATCCCCCTTTGTTGTCGTATGGCAATAGCTAGAACTTCAAGTACCATGTTGAAAAGGTATGGAGAGAGTGGACAGCCTTGTTTTGTTCCTGATTTTAGAGGAATTGCGTTGAGTTTCTGTCCATTTAGTTTGATGTTGGCTGTTGGTTTACTGTATATAGCTTTTATTATGTTTAAGTATGTCCCTGTTATCCCAGATCTCTCCAAGACCTTTATCATAAAGGGGTGTTGGATTTTGTCAAAGGCTTTTTCAGCATCTAGTGAGATGATCATGTGATTTTTGTTTTTCAGCTTGTTTATATGGTGGATTACGTTGATGGACTTTCGTATGTTGAACCATCCCTGCATTCCTGGGATGAAACCTACTTGATCGTGGTGAATGATTGTTTTGATGTGTTCTTGGATCCGATTTGCCAGTATTTTATTGAGTATTTTTGCATCAATGTTCATGAGGGATATTGGTCTGAAGTTCTCTTTCTTAGTTGTATCTTTGTGTGGCTTGGGGATCAAGGTTATTGAAGCCTCATAGAAAGAGTTTGGCAAAGACCCTTCTGCTTCTATTGTGTGGAACACTTTGAGAAGAATTTGTATAAGCTGTTCTTTGAATTTCTGGTAGAATTCTGCACTGAGGCCATCTGGACCTGGGCTTTTTTTGGTTGGGAGACTTTTGATGACAGCTTCTATTTCCATAGGGGTTATAGGTCTATTTAAATTGCTTATCTGTTCTTGATTTAGTTTTGGCAATTGATAGCTGTCCAGGAAGTCATCCATTTCCTTTAAATTTTCGAATTTTCTGGAGTACAGGTTTTCAAAGTATGACCTAATGATTCTCTGGATTTCCTCAGAGTCTGTTGTTATGTCCCCCTTTTCATTTCTGATTTTGTTAATTTGCGTGTTCACTCTCTGCTGTTTGGTAAGTTTGGACAAAGGTTTGTCTATCTTGTTGATTTTCTCAAAGAACCAACTCTTCGTTGCGTTGATTCTTTGTATTGTTTTCCTGGTTTCTACTTTATTGATTTCAGCCCTCATTTTGATTATTTCCTGGCGTCTACTCCTCCTGGGGGAGTGTGCTTCTTTGTGTTCTAGAGCTTTCAGCTGTGATGTTAATTCTCTGGTATAACTGTTCTCCTGTTTCTTCATGTGGGCACTTAGTGCTATGAACTTCCCCCGTAGCATTGCTTTCAAAGTGTCCCATAGGTTTGGGTATGCTGTGTCTTCATTCTCATTGAATTCGAGGAAGTCTTTAATTTCTTTTTTTATTTCCTCTTTGACCCAGGGATGGTGCAGTTGAGCATTATTCAATTTCCATGAGTTTGTAGGTTTTCTGCAATTTGTGTTGTTGTTGAATTCTAATTTTAAAGCATGGTGGTCTGATAAGATGCATGGAGTTTTTCCAATTTTTTTGTAGCTGCTGAGGTTTGATATGTTGCCAAGTATGTGGTCGATTTTTGAGAATGTTCCATGTGGTGGTGAGAAGAAGGTATATTCTTTTTTATGTGGATGAAATGTTCTATAGATATCTGTTAATCCCAGTTGGGTCATTACTTCTATTAGCCCTTTTGCTTCCTTGTTGAGTTTCTGTTTGGTATTCCTGTCTAGTGG